GCCCACCACAGACCCTCCTCACCCTGACTGGCCGGCCAAGCCTTAGCCCAAAGGGCCTCCACTGTGGGATGTCACCCCAGATAGCCTGAGCCTCCCAGGGGAGATGGAAGGGCCTAGGAAGACAGTGTCTCAGGAAGGCTCAGGAGAACACCAGCAGAAAAGCATATTCAGGCTGTGCCTGCCATCTCCACTGTGCGAACATGGGGGAGGAAAAGGGCCTCCTCCCCCATTCGGTTGCCAAGGGGAGCTTTGGGGAGACTGTCAGACTCAAAGCTTTTCTCTAAGAAACATGGAGACGCCAGCCAAGGCCTAAGGAGAGCCCCGAGCACCAGCCTCCATCCTGGCACACAGTAGGCAATTAATAAATGCTTGTTGGCCTGGGAGAGGCGAGCAGGCCCTCACCGGTCCTGACCTCCTGCCCTCTCCCCGGCTGGGACACCAGCTTGAAAAGTACTTTGATATCTCCAGCAGGAAAGCACCAGAGAGAGCCCAGCACCACTTTCTAGGGTGCGTTTGTCCTTCATTTGCTTCCAAATTCCTCCTGTGTACAGAGGGTGGCAGCCTTGGCTGGCCTACTCCCCACCCTCCATGAGCTCCACCACCTCCAGGAAAGTCACCAGAAAGAAAGGTTTAACCTTGGAGAGGCTGCGGGGGGGGGGGGGGGGGGCGCAGGGGACAGCGTCCCAAAGGTTCCAAGGAAGGGGGGCGTCACTAGGCTGAGGGGGGCATGCAGGGCTCAGAGGACGGGCAGCAGATTGGGGGGATCATCAGGCTGGAGGGGGAGGGGCAGAAGATGAGGGGAGGGGTCACCAGGCATGGGGTTGGGGTGGGAGGGGCAGCAGATAAGCCCATGCAGACCAGCAGCCTGAAGCCTTCACTGCACAGGTCACTAGCATGTGTACTCAAGGACAGGCAAAACACGCTGGCTGCCTGTGAGGGGCTTGATTCCCTGTCAAGGAGGAAGCCCACCACATATGCACTGGGCCAAGCCCAGGGTTAAAAGTAAAAAGGAAGGGGGCCTGGGGATGGGGCCCAGGGAGGAGTGGGGCAGCAGGGGTGCCTGGGGAGGGCCTTCCTGCCTGGGGAAGGGCAGGGCGGCCACTCCTCAGCAGCTGGTTCTCACCCTGGCCTGCCTGCTGGGTGGGCGGCGGGGTGCCATTCGGCCCATCGGGCCACCTCCTGCTAGAAAGCCAGTCCTGAGGCCAAAGTTTGGGCCATTTCTCCTCCCAGACAAATCCACCCCAGACCCCATTACACGGGCCTGCTATGCATTCACACACACAGAGGCAGGAGCCAGACACTGGCCTCCTCTGCCAGGGGGGCACAGGGGAACCAGCTATAGGTGCCAACACATGCCCTCACCCACAGAAGAGCCACCTTCAAGAGTCCCCTGAGTCCTAAGACTCAATACTAGGTGCAGAACCACCTGAGAGTGCCCACTGGCTGACAGCGTATGGAGGAAATGGGCTGACCCCCCAGCCCAGGGTGCTCAGGGTCAAAAAAGGCTTCACGGGCTGAGCCCTGAAGGCCAACATGAGAAGGGGCCAAAAGAACGCCCAGAGGTGAGAGACAAGGGAAGGGCCAGACACCCAGCTTGACAAGCTTTGGGGGCAAACAGGGGAATCCTGGGACATGAGGCTGGACCCAGAGTCTAGCAAGCCGGCATCAGCAGGCTTGTCCTCCAGGCAGCAGGGAGCCATGGGGGTAAGGGGCAAGGGGCAAGGGGAGGGACGCTCTCTAAAGGAAGGATGGGTCAGGGAGGACGGTGGCAGCAACCCCTGGTGCAACCTTTACAAGGAAAAGCCCCTGGGAAGAAGGCGGTGTGCCCATGGGAGGTATTCAGCACAGCGGACAGGGCTTGGCCCCTGGCAAGTGAGGGGAAGGTTGAGAGCGAGCCACCCAGCCCAGGGCACATGGGAAGAGGGCAGGAACAGAGGCAGCAGGGACAAGAGGTGAGGCCAGAGACGCGCCCTGGGGGAACATGCAATTAATGCACCGCTGGGGTCGGTCCTTACCCGGCAAGGATGTGGGGAGGGGAGCTGCCCCCCCCCACCAGGCCCCCACACAAAGACTAGCCAGGGAGCTCCCCCCAGAGCTCCAATGCAGGCAGGCAGAGAAGACAGCACCCACCCACATGCTGCCCACCCCCCTGCTGCCCATCCACCCAACTGCTGCCCACCCACATGCTGCCCACCCATCCACTGCCCACCTGCCTTCCTTGGCAGATCCCCACCTCAGGATGACCAAGGATGATGAGGTGGGGTGGGAAGCCAGGGGCTAAGGTGACTCACTCCTTGCTCACCTAGTCCCCCTCCCCCCACTCTCTCCTCTGGGCTCTCTGAGGAGGCCGATCCCACCTGATCGCAGGCTGAGCCTGCCACCAGAGGCCAGCTAGTGCTTGCTGACTCGGCAAGAGAAGGCCGGTGGCCCAGGCAGACCCCAGACCAGGGACTGAAGTCTGCCACAGAGGGCATGGCTTGGGGGCACAAGGGACGAGAACCCATCCCCTTCTACAGCTTTTTTAAGGGCAGTAAGGAATTCACAATGGGACAAGCACCCAGCCAGCTGTCTACACCACTCTCCTCAGGATCCAGACCAAGGTCCCTTGGAAGGGAAGTTTAGAAGGGCTAAGTCCAACAGGGCTCCCTCCATGGAGCCCCGTGGGCAGCAGGCAATGTCTACGCAGGGGCCTCCCTCCTGCGGGCAGCAGAGGTCGCCAAGGGCCTCACCTCCTGCGGGCAGCAGGGCACACCTCACCTCTGGCGGGCAGCAGGGCACTGGCTATGTGGGGGCCTCACCTCCCATGGGCAGCCAGGGGCCTCGCCTCCTGCAGGCAGCAGAGGCCGCCAGGGGCCTCACCTCGCATGGGCAGCCAGGGGCTTCACCTAGCATGGGCAGCCGCGGGCCTCGTCTCCCTCTTCTCTTCCCAAACAGCTGGCCTGCTCAGGCTGGTGCAGCACCCTCTCCCCCTGCCCTCTCCAACCCCTTGATTCGGATGTTTGCCTCTGGGTCAGTTTTCCTCATCTTTCCTTTTCTGAGAAACTTCAGCAGGCCCCTGAGTGACCCCCAGAAGGCAGGCCAGGTGCCCGGCTCCCTAGCAGTGAGCCCACACACACAGTGACACTGAGCTAGACACTCAGAACCCTGGGCCAACAGGTGCTCCAGGCAGAGAGTATGAGCACCAGTGAGCCGCCTCTACAGAGCCACAGATTTCCTGGCTGACCTCTCCCCCCCTCGCCCTGGCCATGTAGTCACCCTTCCTCTGTGGTCACCTCCCTCCCTTACAGAGTCCTAAAACATCGTGCCGGGGCAGGGTGCCTGCTGGACAGGCCAGAGAGGCGCAAGGGGGAACCACAGGGCACAGACCGCTGGCCTAGGAGTCAAGAAGACCCAAGTTGAAATTCAGCCTCAGTCGCTAGCTGCATGAACTAGCTGCAAATCGCTCTACTTTTGTCTGCCTCAGTTTCTTCCTCTGTAACATGGGGATAATAACAGCACCTCCCTCCCTCCCAAGGTTGTTGAGAGAATCAAATGAGAGAATGTTTGTAAAGTGCTTTACAAACCTCCAAGCGTAAGTAAATGGTATTTATCATAGTAACAATTCATGTTATTGACAACTTCAGCACATACGACAGCTCCCAGCATTTCCTGCCTGTGCTCTGCCTACACCGGAGGCCTGCCCATGCCCGCTGCCCCTTGGCCACTGCCAGCCTCCAGGCGGCCCCAGCTGACGGAGAAGGAAGAGCTGGGCCAAACCCAGAGTCAGAGCACAGACCAACGACCATGGGAACTCAAACCCTCTTGTGGGGTGCCCGGCTTCAGCGCCCGGGACCAGAGCCTGCCCCCAATCTGGCCACCCTGCCACGCAAGGCCTCACTGCTCCCAGACTCCTGGGGCAGCCCTGCTCTCATCGTCCCAAGCTGTGCACGGGCCGGCTCCCTAACTTTGAGCTCCATAAATACAGGCCCAGCAGGCTGGGAGACCACTGCCTGCCCTGACAGGCCTGAGCCCCATAGGGAAATGGTCCGGTCCCACGTGGGAAAGCCATTCAAATAGGTGGGGAGAGGAGCCCTGGCCTGCGGGGAGGGGGCCCACCCCCCCATTCCTACTCTACACTGGCTGGCCAGGTCACCTGACATCTCATCTCCCCCTCTTTCTCCACAGGCACCCCCACCCCAGGGCAGGCCCAGAGCCCACCTGGGTCAAACGCAGCTGAGTGAGTCAGGCCAGAGGAGAAGAATGGGTCTGTGCCAGGCCATCCCAGGGGCCAGAACCAGGAAGGGGCTGCAGAGGGAAGGACAAAGAGGCAGGTTAGGGTGGGCGACCAAGGAGGTCAGGTGGCCTGGAGGAGATCCCAGCCTGGGCATCTCCAAGAAGAGGCTAGCCCACCGCTTGTCAGGCATGAGGGGAGGGACCACAGGCACTGGGGCACAGGAGAATTCTGCTCATCCCAAGGGAGAGGAGGCAGGGAAGGTGCCAGGCTAGAGACCTCCTGAGGGCAGAGGCCTGGTTTCCTTCCAGCTCAGGGCCTACAAAAGCCAGGGGAGATTACAAAGCAGATTCTACTCTCTGCTGCCCAGAGATAACAGGGCTGGCCCCCAGAGGCTCAAGAAGCCTAGCAAAGCTTGCTCCAGGGGAAGGGACAGAACCAAGCTAGGACACATAAGCAGAGCCAGCCTTAGGCCAGAGTCGGTCCTTTTACTGCTATACAAGCACCCACCTGCCTCTTGTCATGGGCTAGGCCCCCAGCTGCCTCTGACCCCTGCAGGCCAGGCCCCCAGCTGCCTCTGACCCCTGCAGGCCAGGCCCCCAGCTGCCTCTGACCCCTCCATGGGCCAGGCACACCCCTGCCTCTGACCCCTCCATGGGCCAGGCCCCCACCTGCCTCTCATCCCCCCCTGCCAGGGGCCACAAACCTACAGGCATCCCTCCTGCACCAAACAGCCATGGTCATGCCAATTCACTCCCTCCTCTCCCCATTGAGTGCCCTCAGTACCCACCTGGGTCTCCACGGAAAGCTCCATCCTGGGCTCCTCTGGCCGGGTCGTCACTGGGCCAGATCTGGCCGGTCCTGCGGACCCCCACAATGGTTGCCTCGGCCACGACGACCTGGCCTGGCCTTGGCCGCTTCTGGGCCTGGGGGGTTGGGGGGCTGCTGCTGTCCAGGGACTGCTGAGAGTTCTGGGAAGGGGAGCGGCTCTTGTCACGGTCCAAGCGGCCGGCCGTGGGGCTCGGCCCGGAGGAGAAGTCCTCCTCGCTGGAGGTGAGGTTCTCGTTGGAACTGCAGTCGGGGGTGTACCCGCCCCCGATGTCCTCGAAGCTCCGAGGGGAGTAGGACCTGCGAGGCCAGGTGAGGGGCTTGTCCTGCTCCCGCCAGGCTGCCGGTCCCCGGCCCTCGTCCCCCATCAGGCCCCCGATGTAGATGCTCTGGTAGGGCTGGTAGTCACCGGGCAGCCGGGCGCTGATCAGGTTATCCCTCAGGAAGCGGGGATTCAGCTCAGCGTCCTCATACTCCCCTCCAGGCTCGCAGCAGCCCGCCCGGGCGGCCAGCCCGGCGGCAGACCCTGCGAGGGCCATGGCAGGTGGCTGGGCAGCCTGCAGCGAAGTCTTCTGGCGTTCCTGCTGCATGGCCTGGCTGCCCAAGCAGCTGATCCGGTCCGAGACTTCTTTGTCGTTGACCTTCACCAACCCCCGCTCGTGGTGGTACTCCACGTTCACGTAGAAGGGCTTCTCCTCCCCGCAAGTCCCAGGGCCGGAGCGGGCCCTCTCGAAGGTGGACCTGAGAGCGGCCACGCTGGGCGGCTGGACCCGGCCGCCGCCGCCGCTGCTGCCCGCGCCGCCGCCGCCGCCGCGCCGCCGCCGCCGCCGCCGCTGCTGCTGCGGGGAGGGGCCCGCGGGTGCTGGGGCGAGCCCTCCGAGTCCTGCGGGGCCCGCGGGAGCTTCTCCCGGCCTCCCTTGTCGGCCGGGGGCTCGTCCTGCCCTCGGCCCTGGCCGCCGTCGTCTTGCCCTTGGTCCTGGCCGCCGTCGGGGGGCTCGGGCCCCGGGCAGCCCCAGCGCCGCCGGTCGTAACTCTTCCTCTCTTTGGCCAGCAGCGTTTGCAGGTAGATCATGCGGAATCGCTCCTGGTTCACCTCCAGCTCCAGCCTCCGGATGGATGCCTGGCAGCGCTGGAGTTCCTGTTCGATGGCGGTCACCGAGCCCAGCTCCATGTGGGGAGGTTCCGAGGTCGGGAACTGAGCCCGCCACGCCTCGGCGAAGCCCACGGGGTCCACCATGGCCGCGGGAGCCCCGAGAGCGAGAGCGCTAGGAAAGGAAGAGCACCTGGGAGGGAGGGGGAAGGGGAGCTGGGGCAGGGACACCCGCAGGCAGGGGGAAGGGCTGAGGCAGGCTTGGCTCAGAGGCCCCAAGGGGGGACCCCCAGACCCTGCCCCGGAGGCAGAGGGGGCCAGGCCCCCATGGCCCCGCCCGCCAGCCTCCCGTCTGGACCTTCCCAGGGAACAATGCCCCCGGCCTGGGAGGCGGGGAGGGGGACCTCCCAAGGGGGGGGGGCTGCTGGGGGGAGGGGCGATGAGGGAAAAGAACCTAGCTGGGGATGAAGAGGAGGGGCTTCTCTGGAGAAGAAGAAGCAGAGAGGAGGATCTTGAAGTGGGGGAGGGGGCTCCGGAGGGGGGAGGGGAGCCTGGCTAGGGGCGGGGGAGAGGTGGAGGGCTTCTCCTCCCCCTCCTTTTCCTCCTCCTTCTTCCTCGGTCAGCCTGTGTCTGGATCTGGGTCTGGGTCTGGGTCTGGGTCTGGGTCCCTGCCGGCCCTCTCAGCGTCAACTTGGTCCCGGCCTCAGCCCCGGCCCTGGCTTCAGCCCCGGCCCAAGCTCCACTGCCCGGGTCGGCCCCGCCCGCCTCCAGCGCAGGAAGGGGCGAGGCCTCGGTGGGGCGGGGCTCTTAAAGGAGACTAGGATGCCGCTGCAGCCGTGCTCGCCTCACCAAGGCAACCCCTGCCCTTCCCCAGTGCTGATAGGGGGCGAGCGCGCGCGCACACACACACACACACACACACACACACACACACACACACACACACACACACACACACACACACACACACGCGCGCACACATGCACACGCACACGCACACGGAGACACACTCATACTCTCTCACGCATACACACACACACACAGACACACTCACACATACTCTCACACACACACACAGACACAGGATAGAAAAGCCAGTGTTCAGCTCCAATGCATCCCCAAGTGGTCTTTCTGCTCAGACTTCCCAAGCTCCAGGGGCACAGGCCCAAAGGCTGACGGGCCCAGGATGCCCCCTCTCTGCCCCCCCCACCCCGCTGTGGACAACCATGGCTGCCTGTCTCCTCCTACTAGCCCAACCACAGGCCTGGGCCAACTCCTTGGAAGCACCTAGCATGTCCCCAGGGCTGATGGGAAAACTGCCTTGGTCCTAGTGACCCCTAAAGCAGAGATTCTCAGAGCAGTTAGCGGAGCCATCCAGGGGCATTTCAAAGTCCTGTGGTCAGGAATGGTAAGCCAGGGGCACCTGTCCGGAAACCCTTGCTGCCTCCCACCATATGCCTGGAGGGCCAGCCTCCTGGGCTTGGAGTCAGAACTCAGCCTGACCTGTAGTCTCTCCCCCTCCCCCACCAGCCCTGCATGCCTCCAGCATCTCCCCAGGGCTCACCTGCTCCTAACTCTTCCTAGAGTTCTGTCGGGTCGGGGGAGGAGGTGGTAGGAGTTTTCCACTTTGATGAAATCACTAGTCCTTTGCTTATTCACATAATTATTAGGTTTTTCCATACATGGAGCCAAAATCTGCCCCTGTACCTTCCACCCACTGCTCCCTGTCCTGCCCCAGTGGGGGGGGGGCTCAAGAAGAACAAGGTCAGTCTCCCTCCCCAGCCGCCAGCCCTGCCCAGAGCCCTCCTTCCCTTCTCCAGGGTAAATATGCCGAGGGGCTTCTGCTCTGTTCCTTTGCCCTTGGGTAGGTTCCCAGCTCTTTCTCTCATCTCTGAGGACCCACTGGCCCTGAGGGACAAAAAGAAGGCAGGAAACCAAGTGAATGGGCAGAGGAGGAGAAGGAGGAAGAGGAGGAGGAAAAGGAGAAGAGAAGGAGGAAGGAGGAAGAAGAAAGGGGAGAGGAGGAGGAGGAAAAGGAAGAGGAGGAAGAAGAGAAAGAAGAAGAGGAAGAGGAGGAGAAGGAGGAAGAAGGGGAGGAGGAGGAAGAAGAAAGGGAAGAGGACAAGGAGGAGGACGAAGAAGAGGAAGAAGAAGAGGAGGAGGAGGAAGAAGAGGAAGAAGAAGAGGAGGAGGAGGAAGAGGAGGAGGAAGGAGGAAGAAGAAAGGGAAGAGGAGAAGGAGGAGGAGGAGGAAGAGAGAGAAGGAAAAGGAGGAAGAGGAAGACGATGAGGAGGAGGAAGAGGAGGAGGAAGAGGAGAAAGAAGATGAGGAGGAGGAAGAAGAGGAGGAGGAAGAAGATGAGGAAGAGGAAGAGGCAGGCTATGCAGAGAGGGCAGAAGAGAATCTGTGATAAGTCCTCTCTGCTGGCTGTCCCAGCCAGCCTCTGATCCCCCCCCCCCCCCCCCCGCCCCTCATGGACAAGCTGTCAAGGAAGCTTCCCTTGAATCTGTCCAAGCCCAAGGGAGCAGGGCTCAGGGGCCTTTTAGAAGTCACTCGGGCTCCAGCCTCTCTGCTCTAATTCTGAGCTCTCCCTTGGGGCTGGCACCACCTGACCAGCACCTCGGGATGTGCTTCTCTTGCCAGCTAAGGACCAGAACCTTCTTAAACCTTTTCACCTGTTTGTGGTTTCTAGACTAAAACAAAGGCTGGCTGAGGCCTGGGCTTTGGACAGGGCCTTCAAGGCCAGGGGCTCAGCAGACCCCCCTCCAGTATCTTGGCCCCACCCCCTTTGAACATAAAGATTAGTGGCTCAGGCCCCTGAAGGGTGCCTGGGCCCGCAGGACCCTGATGAGTCAGACATCATCTTTCTCTGGTTGGGCTGTGCCAGGTCTGGAGGAGGAGAGAGGTTAGCCAGGAGGCCGAGAGGCCTGCCACCCATCCAGCCAGGATTGGGAACACCCCAAGAACCCGTAGCTTCCCTGTTCAGGTCCCAGAACAGCCACCCAAGGAATGCCAAAGGCCTGGCTCCTCCAATGAGGAGGCTGGGCAGCCCACTCCAGCCCTCTCTCTGCTGGAAGGCACCTTGCAAATGTCACCTCTCCCAAATCTAGGGACAAACCCTGAGCCTGGCAAACCAAGCGTTTGCTCAGCTCAGTGCCCAGCAGCCTCCCTAAGGCCTTGCCCAGCAATGATGCCCACCAGGGCCAGCAGCAACCATAGTGATCCTGGCCTGGCACCTTCCTTTGGAAGCTTCAGAGAGCCGGACTGCCCGCAGATGGTGCCCATGTGGCAGATTCACAGCGGGGCATCATGAGGCCTACCCAGGAGGGGTCACCTGGCTGTGCTGGCCTGTCTGGGGAGGGGCCCCCCCCCAGTGAGCCTGGAGCCTGCCTGGACTCAGCTGGGCCAGCCTAGGGATCCATGCTCCCTGGAAAGGGCTTTCCCTCAACCCTCTCCCATCCTTTGTAGGCTGAGCTGTGGTCTTGCCCCCTCCCCTCCTCCAGGCAGGCATCAGCATGTGACCAAGCTCTCTGTCAAAGGAAGAAGTGGGAGCTCCCAGCTGGCTGCCCTAGGGAGCCGAAGAGAGGAGGCCTAGTCTGCCAGGCCCCAGGAAGGCCTGGATCAATGACTGACTGCTGGGGTGGCTCAGCTGCGGCTCGGGGGCCTTGCAGTGGTGCTCTGTCTGACGGCCTACCCCTTCCCCTGCCCCTGCAGTTCTGGGCAGCTGGGCTCCAGGGCCCCCTGCCTTTGAGGGGAGTCCTGCCGCTTGAGGAGAGGTCAGGGGGCATTGACCCTACCCAGGCAGCCAGGGATCTTGGGGCCCCTAGTGCTACAGAGCCTCCCCTAAGGAAAGCCCTGCCCCAGCAGCTCTGCCAGGGGGTGCCCAGCCATGGAGGAGGGAAAGCTGAGCAGGGCCCAGGCAGGACCCCAGGCCCTTCCCCTTACACGGAGACCTGCCCCTAGGGATTCAAGGCAGGAGAGGCTGGACAAGGCAGCTTTGTTTCCAGCAGGGACAGCCCTGAGGGAGCTTTGGGGGCCTGACTCACAAGGCACTGGACCCGTACCCAGGGAACCTGGAGTCTAGCCCAGGCTCTGCCTCAGCCCTGGGCCAGGCTCTTCCTACCCTGGCTTCCTTTCCTATTTTGTAAAGGAAGACATCAAAGATTATAAACACTGCTTGTTCCTTCACCCACATCTCATGTGAAGAGGTGGCCACCTCCAAATCCACGCCCTCCCTCCACCAACACAAGCTGGGTGCATCCATCCTGCCTGCCAGCACCAGCAGAGTGCTCCCTCCATCATCCCCCCTGCTGCAGAGTGCTCCCTCCATCATCCCCCCTGCCAGCTCCCACAGAGTGCTTCCTCATCTCCCACCTGCTGCAGAGTGCTCCCTCCCTCATCTCCCACCTGCTGCAGAGTGCTCCCTCCCTCATCTCCCACCTGCTGCAGAGTGCTCCCTCTGTCATCCCCCCTGCCAGCTCCCACAGAGTGCTCCCTCATCTCCCACCTGCTGCAGGGTGCTCCCCCCGTCATCCCCCACCTGCCCGTTCCAGCACACTGCTCCCTCCATCGTTCCTCCTGACTGCTCTAAGAGAACAATTTGCCAAGAACCTCAATCTCACCTTGCTTTAGGTCACAGACATTTTCTGAAGGTCTCCCCACCCAGTTAGTGAACATCTATTAAGCAGAAGTCATGTGCCGAGCACTGTGCTAGGTGACAGGCTCAGGCTCCAGTGGAGGTCACACTGTCTTCGTGAGAGCTTCTTCCAGGGTGGGCCTTCAGGATGGACACTGAAAAGCTGGGACACCTCAGAGCACAGTTACAGGGAGATCTCAGAACCAGAGCCGCCATTGGCCCAGCAGACAGGGCTTCCACATTGGGACTGGAAGACAGATCAGGGCAATGGGACGAAGCTGGCTAGAGGCAACTTCAAACTTGGTATCACAAAAAAATGCCTCCAAAACTGAGCCGTATGCCAATGGTGCCAACTCCAGGGGAAGAGGAAGTGACCATCCCTCACTCATCTCCCAGCAGATAAGCTGCTCCACCAAACCTCCAAATGTCTGGGTAGCCCCAGCCTCCAGAGCAGGGGCAGTGAGGCTGTTCAGTGGATAGAGCACTGTGCCTTGAGTCAGGAAAAACCCAAGTTCAAATCCAGCCTCAGACACTTACTAGCTGTGTGACCCTGGGCAAGTCACTTAACCCTGATTGCCTCTCTTCCCTTCCCCCCCAAAAAAGAGCAGTTCTCAGTCAGAGGCAGAAAGCCTGGGACCCAGCCCAGGCAAGCCCAGCCAGGCCCTTTGTTTGTTTGCTTCCTTGTTCCGGCCCAGGGTGGACTCCCTCTCGAGGGCTCTTGGCTCTGTTTCAAGATCTTTCCTTTAACAAGATGCAAACGTGGGAAAGGATGAAAAGTTAGACTTCCACAGCAGAACAAGGGAATTCCAAGATCTTGCACATAGTCCCTCAACCAATCAGAAAGTGCCCCAAATATTCTACGAGCAACGAGTTCCTTAAGAAAAGAGCCCTGGAAAGGCAGCTAGGTGGCACAATGGATAGAGCACCGGCCCTGAAGTCAGCAGGACCTGAGTTCAAATTCAGCCTCAGACCAAACACTTGACACTGACTAGCTGTGTGACCCTGGGCAAGTCACTTAACCCCAATTGCCTAAAAAAAAAAAAAAGACCAGAGCCCTGGAGGCTAAACCAGTCACAACCCATCAAGGATGGGGCAAAGGCATTTCTCTACTCACTTGTTTAAT